AAATCCAAGATTTTTTTTCGAAAATCTTTTTTTTCTAGCATCAGTTAGGTTGGAAATTTTTAATTTACACATATACTAAAGGTAATTTATTGATGAACAAAATCCAATCTAATCCAAAAAGTAAAGCTTACTACTTAATACTAAGGAGAAAAAAGTTTATACTAAGACAATGTCATAATTGACTAAAACTTAACATTTTCACGTTCTCTCATTAAATATAAAGAACTATACAAAAAAAGGACTAAAAGATGCGCAATAAAATTCTCTACAAAACTATATAATCGATTTGTTGGTTTCTTCTAATTTTGAAATTCGTAAGGGTCCTTTAATTTCCTAAAAATGATGTGCTGAACGCCAGTATCTGGAAGCTGATCTTCACGGTAGAAAACGTTTTTTGTGTTTTTAACTCTGAAAATCGAACTGTATGCAGTCGGGTTTACCAGATCAAGATTAGGAAATTAAATTTGACATCTTTTAGTTTCTAGACTCAACTTTGGACTTAACTCGGCCTACTTTCGCTATTTCACTGTGAAGGAAGTGTTTTCCAAAGTTGAGTCTAGAAACAAAAGAATTGTCAAATTTAATTTCCTAATCTTGATCTGGTAAATCCGACTTCATACAATTCGATCTTCAGGGTTAAAAATTTACAAAATCTTGCTTCTGCCTAAGAAAATATAGGCAAACCGATTCTCTTTCGATTGCTGAAACCTCCAGATCGCTATCTTTGTTAGTTATTTAAAAAGTGCTAATTAGCGTGTCTCGTGTACAAAGAGGTGATAATCGCCTTAGAAAACTGCAAATTTTTCTAAATTCAAGCAGATGGAATTCAAGAGAAATTCATGAGATCATCTCGTGTTACTGTTTCTAAAAATTGACACCGATAATGTTCGTGAACAAGTAATTTTGAGTGTAATGGCATATTTCTTAATAAATCAAGTCTTTTATATTTAAATGTCAGTAAGACACGATGAGTTTCTTGTATAAAATTCGGTCAACGAACAATCGATGCTCGAACACTTTGAGACCCTGGACAAACTTCTTTATTCTCGCGTACAATACTTCGATTGCGAACTTTATTTGTGGAGGGAACAAATCGACGTATGTGCTAGCCAAGAACTGCATTCTCTTTTCAAAGGCAAACAACGTCACCCAGGGAGAAACAAAAATCAGTGCTACGCGACTGACATGATAGGCTACCCTTTCAACAGTAAATACGAGTGTGAGTATACTTATCCGTTCGATCTAATCGCAAATAGGATCTATCGTCATACAGTTGTTAAACTGGCTCTCTGCTACGTTTTTAGACGTTGAACCACAGGTGTACACTGCGCAATCATACTATGGGATGACGCCTCGATATGATAGCGATGATGATTATGACAACGATAACAATGGCTTTGTTGATTACGGTTACGCCTTCCGAGGAAACTACAAGGCGAACTACGGATGTTCTCCTTGGAGTGGGAACAACGACGACTAGCTCGAAGAACAGTTGAAACACTGATTTGCTCATGATTTGCTATTGGATTATTTGATATGTCGCTATTATTCTAAAAGGAGAGGGTCTATCAAGCATGTCAAAAACCGAAGACCCAGTAGATAGTACATCGACTAACGAAACTGCCGCAAACAAAAAACGAGTTGTCGACACACAGAAGTCACTTTTTTGAAGTTCATGGCAGAATGCTTACAACGTTTCGAGGAAGCAACACGAAGAGCTAGGAGACGAGTTTACAGCTCCTACGGTCTGCAGTTGTCACGGTTTACAGTGATCTTGACCACTTGTGTGTGTGTCTATCCTTGTTTTTTCTTTGATCAGTTTAATCAACCAGTAGAAAAATAGAAATAATCATGTCGCTCTATAACAGAAAAGAGAAAGTTTATCTGAAAGCTGAAATTAGGGGAAGAAAAATTGTTCTCAGCATGAGTGTAACGAAAAACTCATCTTCTTATGTTAGATGAGTTGTGAGCGGTTGGACAATAGATTTTTTATTCTGGTCTTTTTTTCTATTCATACAGAAACAGCGCGCGACAAATGCGAAGGAAATGTCCCAACTGTCATATTTCAAAACAAATGGAGTAATCCTCTATGAAGAATTCAGTATAGCCACTAGATGATCTCTAATGAGTTTCTCCTAATTCTCGTTTTCTAATGTCCTTCCTCCAGCGATGTTATAACCAAGATTGCCACCCTCTTTCAATTTTCTTTCGAGTTTAACATCAATGTTTTTAGTACACATTTCTAACTTAACTGTTACACTTGCACTAGTACGCTATCTTTCGTTCGCTGTTTTCATTGGCGGCGATCCATCTTGTTACATTTTTAGGAAAATGAATTAATAATATAATATAATTATCCATTTTTTGTGTCTTTCATTTTATTAACATCTCTGCGTTGATACGCTGGATTTATATTTCATGTTATTTATATTCGTGCTTCTGTGTGTGTTGTTTGTAAATGTTGATGCCAGTGATAATTTCTTGGAATTTGATGGTTATAATTCGAAAATTTATGGATTTGGTCTACGAGCAAATTTCAATGTTCCAGCACAATATTTTTATTTGCAAACATATGACAAACATGGCGAGAAGTAATTGCTCTTGAGATGACATGCATTCACTAGTATAGTGGTTGTTGTTCTATTAGTTTTTCTCTAGGTTGAACGAGTCATCTGGTTCTGATCTATTTCAATTCGAACTAAAACATGTAAATGGGAAACATGTTCAATGTTATCGTGAAGTGCAAGATTTATATGNTCTAGGTTGAACGAGTCATCTGGTTCTGATCTATTTCAATTCGAACTAAAACATGTAAATGGGAAACATGTTCAATGTTATCGTGAAGTGCAAGATTTATATGATGGAACGTATTTATTTCGATTCCGCTTATTTGAATCTGTTAAAGATCTTCAACTAGAAATTAAATACCAACAACAACATATTAAACAGTCACCCTATATCATTATAGGTAAGAGAATAGAATTTTGGATTAGAAAACTAAGCTGTTGCAAACGAACGAATAATAGATAAATTAAGAAACATTTCATGCCTCATATGTAATGTGTTTTTCAAGACAGAAAGTATACTTATACATTTTTTTCAATCCTTAATTCCAGTTTAGGAGTATTACTCATGATTATATATTTTTAAGGTCATGTATATCCAGATGATTGTTATTGTCCTGAAAAAAATCTTACAAAATGGTATGAATCAATGGATTGTCAACAGGACAATTAAAAGAAGATTTTAAAGTTCATAAAACAATAGATATGAAACAAGTTTTACAAGTAGCTAAAGAGAAATATTTCAAATATTCTGGTACATATAGTCTATGTCATTATGTTGTTAAACAAAATAAAGTAAGTTCTTAATCATTATTATATTTTTTTACCATTATAATTTTTCTCGAAAGGGTATAAATCGAAAGGGGTATAAACATTAATCTTACTTTTAGGATGAGTTAGGGTGGTAGAGTCAATTGTAATTGTAGTTAACAAAAATCATATCAAATATTTTCTATATATCGTAAAAACAAAAAGATCGAGAAAAAATACTGCGACACTTCATTCTTAACTACTTTACGATGTCAAAATACTGGTTTTTCGACTTTAGCTCTTCATATCTTAAAATGTCAAAGATAGACATTTTAAAGCCCTTGAAAAGCTCTATCAACTGATTATATTTAAAACTCTTTATAATTACAAAAGGTTGGAGCAGACCTTTTTTCTTTTACTGATTTTGTCTACAGTTATCGTTTTCGAACTATGGTTTTGGAACAGTTAATAAATTTTGGACAATTCGTCCAAAATCAAACGTTTTGAGGTGAGGTTTATTTTATTTTAACACAGAATATTTCTTCTATCACATACGAAAAGAGAAAGTTGTGTTTTGGGCTGAAAAATTGTCTAGACTGAAGCTTCGTAGTCTTTTCTCTGTATATTTTTATTTTTACAGTATATAGAAAAATGTTCGATATAGTTTTTGTAGAGAATGAAATGGTGGATCTTTTTTAAAAATAGTTTAAGCCACTATGGTCAAAGATAAAAAAGTTGTGCAAAACATACGAAGAGGATAATTTATTCTGTATCGCCCGTTATACGCATATGTTGAAGTAGACGAATAACATACGTTTTTTCCTGTTTTAGTAAATACAACTTTAGCGTGCAGCGTTTCTTTTTTTTGTCGCATACGTCAACAT